AAAAGGTCGAACTCGAGCTTTTCACGGCAAACTGCCGCGGGGACTTGCAGAGCTTGCCTGGCGCTCGGCACTTTGCATACGTCTGTGCTGCACGTTGCACTTTGCTGCCCTCCTGGTCTGAGACGTGGATCTGGTTCGAGACTCAAACGAAGCTGGGAGACAGGTAAGAAACGTCCGATGATGTATCCGCAGTTGATACATGAACGCTGCCTTCCTTTACATGTGTCCTAAAAGCCTGAAACTCTCAACGTTTGGTGGTCAACTCTGTAGCCGAATCCCGAACATGATCCCGGTTGTAAACGCGATGCCAAGCCCTCAGACGCTTACCATGGACGATCATAAGAACCTGTAAGCTGAATGCGAAGTACCGAAGCCGTAAATCCTGATCACCAGAGAGCAGTGGCAACAGGAATGACACTAACAACTTGCGATGTGATATCGATGTATGCAGGCTCGCGTCACAGCTGGAGTCCGATGACCTCCGGCCGCTAGAGGAGCTGTGGGCACGGCCCTCAGTGCAATCGATCGCCGAAGATCTTCTCTTAAGCCCAGACAAGCTCCTTTGGCTGTTCAAGCGCCAGACCGAGAGCAGCATCAAGCGCCAGACGCAGCCCTGGGTCTGGGGTTCAGGATTGATTGGTTGTTAGGTGTTGAGCTTTCGGATTGCCGTCAATTTGGATTTCTTTCTATGCGCGGAGTCCCAGAACAGATTTGTAACCAATTCCAAGAGCAGTGTGCTTTCGTAAGATCGTGAAGGTAGTTGATGCAGTAGCGGCAGTCGCACCGCCTGTTCAGAGCCTTTTTGGGTGCAGCACCTCCGAAGCTGAAGCAGAAGATGATGATTCCTTTCATCGAAATCGGGCCTCCGGCTTTCTTGGAATTTGGTTGCAGCACTGAACCCAGGAAGCTCAGCAGAATCCTTTAGTCTGCTCCAACTGGTGCCAGGCTTCGGGCCCGGGGCTTTCGAGAGCCCGAGTCGAAAGTCCCTCTCCTCATTAAGGCGGACACTCCAAGTCCTGAAAGCTTGAACGGCCTGGTTCCAGGACTGTTGTCAGCTCCTAGTCCTTCCGCTGCCCTTGGTCCGAAGCCGAGAATGCTGCTGTTGCATGGCAAGAAGAAGCAAGACGGATGGGTGCAGGCCTACTGCCAACTGGAATCCTGTAGGCTTTGCTTTTTGCAATTTGGGGTGGTCGTTCTCACAGGCGAAGCCCGGGTTGTCATGCAGACAGGAGGAGGGTTTCCGAGTTTTGTGTGATGTTTCCGCGTTCTTTGATGGGTTGGTTTCACAGTGAGCTCAGGTCTCTGCGTGTTTACACAAGCAGCCTTTCGGAAGCCCAAGCTACCTGATGCCTACGCTCCACCCCTCAGCCCCACAGCGATGTTCAGGCTCGGGATACGCTTGAGGTCCTGCAGCGGGTCCTGCACCTTGGCAGACCGGAAGGGTGTTGCTCCTTGGGTTCGGGGTTTACTCTTTAGTCTAAAGTTGGTCGTACTACTTGCAGGCTGATCTAAGGAATGCCAATCACAACGTTAAACAGTACTCGCGCCACTAGGACATGTGTGTTGTAACGGCATGACTATTCCGACCATTCCTATCTACCTTCACTACGGTGTTCTTGGGCTTCCGAATGCTGGTGCTAGTGCCAGTCGGTGGTTTTGCAGCGGTAAGTCCGATTCTGGGTCAGCCAACTGCCACCTGCTAGCCATTGCTATGATACAGATTATACATGAAAGAAATTAGTCAGCAACGTAGTCAAAAGCAGCAGTATCAGTGCGCCAGCAGTGGGAGTGGCAGTCGTAGCACTACTACAGCAGCAGCAGCAGCAGCAGCAGCAGCAGTACCAGTCGGAGTAGTAGCAGCAGTGGTCGCCGTCGTCATAACAGTAGAAGTAGAAGATAGTAGAAGCAGAAGTGGAATCCGCGGTAGCGGCAGCGGTAGCGGCAGTGGCAGCGGCAGCGGTAGCGATAGCGGTAGGAGGAGCTGGAGTTAGAGCAGGAGCAGGAGCAGGAGTGGTAGGTGGTGGTGGTGGTAGTAGTAGTAGTAGTAGCAGTAGTAGTAGCAGCAGCAGCAGCAGGTAGCAGGTAGCAGGTAGCAGGTAGCAGGTAGCAGGTAGCAGGTAGCAGGTAGCAGGTAGTAGGCAGCAGGTAGCATGTAGCAGGTAGCAGGTAGCAGGTAGTAGGTAGCAGGTAGTAGGTAGTAGGTAGTAGGTAGTTGGTAGTAGGTAGAGTTGGTAGTAGGTAGTGGGTAGTAGGTTGTAGGTCGTAGGTAGTAGGTAGTATACAGGTAGTAGATAGTGGGTAGCTTCACCTTCGCAGCAGACGTCGGCACTGCGTGCAGACCCTGCAAGTCGTGCTTGACGCCATCGCCCTTTCGTGCCTTACCGCCAGAGGGGCCCGGGGTCTCGCCACATGGACGTATTTGAGCGTGTGTCTTGTACTTTGTTGTAAAGTTTGATTCCCCATTCCTTTTCCGACATATGGGAGGTTGTAGTGAGAAGTGTAAAACGACTTTTATATACAGGATAATTGGACCATGCAGGGAATGTGCCACCTTTCGCGTGGGATTATTCCTCAGAGCCACAACATGAAAACAATACTGACATCAAAGACACATGCTGAAGCAAATGCACTCCTGCACACAAGACCTCACCTGTGTGACCTACCCGTTGCTTTCCGAAACAATGCACCTGCTTCAAGTACAGCCGGCCGAGGCGGACGTTAAAAGTACTACTAACAACTACTACCTACTACCTAGTACCTGCTACCTGCTACCTACTACCTACAACCTACAACCTACAACCTGCTACCTACCTATTACCTACTGCCTACTACCTACTGACCCTGCCTACTACCTACTGCTATCTACTACCTACTACCTACTACCTACTACCTACTACCTGCTACCTACTACCGACCACCTACTACCGACTGCCTTAATTACTACCCACCACCTACTACCTACTGCCTCCTGCTTCCTGCCTCCTACCCACTACCTACTACCTACTACCTACTACCTACTACTACCTACTACCTACTACCTGCTACTACCTACTACTACCACCAAGGCTACTGCTGCTACGACGACTACTACGACTCGACATGGGAATGCCGAACCGCCTCGCTGTGAACAAACCGGATGGTTCGACAGTGTGGCAAGTAATTTGCACAATGCCCTGTCGGACGCATTATTCGTGCTTAGAACACATCATGTGGTTCGAACCAAAAAAACCTATCGCAGCGCAAAGATTACACTAGACTTCAAGAACTTTCGCTGCAAAGCTTAGATCTAAGTGCCCGATTGGACCAAGCAGTGTTTGTTTGCGGGGCTTTGCGCGTGGCGCCAGCGAGTTGGTTGCTTCCGTCAGGGAGGTCGATCTTTGGCTCTCATGTGAGCAAGGCGCGGCGGCCCTCAGTCCTCAGCACAGTGTTCGGCTGTGTGTACACGTAGCATGAGCAAACGCAGGTTTTCGGCAACAGACCGTGTGCCAGCACGCGGCGCACTTTTCTACGACTCTATAAGGAGGTTGGCTGCCACAGCGCCGGACGGACACTAGGGACAGCGGATGCTGGGGAGGCGTGGAAACGGGGGCAGCCGGATTTACCCAAGACCTTACAGCCTGGCAGTATCGCATTCTGCGTGGCATCGTTGCGTCATGTTGCGTCGGCACGCTCTGGGACGACGTCGCTGGTGCAGCAGTCGGGCGCGGTATCAGAATCAGCGAGGACGGCAATTTCAGCGGCTAGGCCTTTGAGACGGCAGCGTGGGTCGAAAGGCTGAAGCATAACTTGCAAGCCAGAGCTAGTGACAGGGACAGACGTGCTGAGATGATGCGGAAAGTTCGCTCGACCACAGTCTGTTATGGAGATGGCGCGCCGCGTCAGTGCCGCGTGGGGGAAGTTCAATAAGCCGAGGACCACGTCGGTGAACAAACATGTATATGCATTGTTGGACGGAGCCGCTTCACGGATGAAAGCTGGGAGGATACAATGCGAGGCATGAACGCACGGGAATCTTCTGTCTTCCTGAACCTGCCGGCCAAGACTGCTTGGCCCGTAATGAGTAATGTGCTGCCTGTGCAGCAATTTGGTGTCCTTCCTGGTACAGCTACATCAGCATTGTAGTGATCGCGACCTCGCTATCCGGTGCTCGGATAGATCCTTTGCGTTCCTGTTTGAGCTTCGACGGCGAGTGTTGGCTGCATGTGGCACAAGTGGAAACGGCTGGCAGAGTTGATGAAGGACTCGAAGGCACGAGGCTAGGCTCAACGTCAACATGGCTCAATCTCGGTCCGCCGCGTTGGCCAAGATGGTTGCTGGGTGTTGCAAGAGCACGAATCCTCAGCATGCCCACACATGCAAACAGAAACAACGGCCTAAGTCCTAAGTCGTAACCCTGCCATTACATCATTGCTTCTGTGACATGATGCGTTCGCGGAGGCGGCAGGACTGGAAGATCATCGTCGCTGACAGCTGCCCACTGCGCATATGCGGACCGGGCCTGCAGACACATCTGAGAACGAAATGGCTGTAAGGAGCCGTGCGCAAGTAATTCCACCTCATCGAGCAGTCGGAAGGGTCCCATGCTTCCAACGTTTGGCGGGAGTGACCGCCATGAAATGCAGACTATCGACTGATGCACAGCATGTTGCATAGTTCTGCGGTACGACTGCCATTTCCGTTTCCATGCAGCTTCCATCTCTCCTAAGATGCTGTGGCTGCCTCGTGCTGATGAATCATACCAGGCTCGTGTGACTATCTTGGCTTCGCAGCCAGTTGCAAAGGCTCACGCACAGGAGCTTGACAGCTGTAAGCTTCAGCAAAGCTGCACAAATCACGCCCAAACTCCTGATTCCTTCAGGCATCAACCAGTCAAGCTGGCCGCCAGTGGAGTGGGACGGCTTCGCACAGTTCAACGACAAACCTTGAAACCTTCGTCTGTGACGAACACAGGCACCAAGCTGAATTTCAGTCCCGAGCGGGCGATAGCGGGCGACAGTCTGTCAGTCTGATTTTTTCTCGGGCTGTCCCTCGAAAAAGTCGGCGCCGCATTTAACCTTAGAGAAGGCGAGAGCTTCCACGACACCACAGGACAATGAGAGCTTGTCAACTTCCGCACAGGCTGGGTTTCGTACGGCGCTGCGCGAGGCAATGCAACCTCCGAGATCATCGTCCGCTGGAATCCGAACCTTCACGGTGTGCGAGGAGCATTGAACAGTTTGCGGAATGCTGGGCTGTGCCAGGTATTTAGGCGTAGGCTTGACATGTCATTCAAGCCCTGCTTGCTTGTGTTGAGCCCTGTGTGATAGATGGATAGATGGATAGATAGGCAGATAGGTAGGTAGGTAGGTAAGTAAGTGAGAGATAGATAGATGGCTTCTTACGTGCATGAAATTGGCTCTCATCAACATTGCACTGCTGGTAGTTGAACAACTATCGAGTGTACTGGCAAGGGATTGGGTTCACCCCGGTGACTCCTTGTATCCGAGCTTTCATCTCGAGTTGCCAGCCAGACATCCAACAGAACACGGACATGGCACATCGTGTAAAAACTGACAGAACATGCAGCTGTCGACTGTTGACTTCTAGATTCTAGAGCGACCGAGCCTGTGGTACGTCGCTTCCTGCACGACAGTAAAATGCTCCCACATCCAAAGCTGCCAAGCGAGCTCGGAAGTCGGCACTCACGTACCTGCCAGCATCTGCCAGCAGACCAACGCAAGTTGCTGCCACTTGGACAAAGCTTGAGCGGCCCACGAATAAAGCCAGATATCCATGGGAGTCAACACACGGAGCCTGTGTTCTCGGGCAGCTGTACTCAAGATCACAAGATATCACGAGCTGAGTGGCCGGCGCCATTTCAATCTCGACTAACTCGTCACTGCCTTTGCAGACTGCTTTCCTATCTGAGGATGCTCTGCAATTGGTGCTTGCTGGGGGCGCGACGCAACTTCTTCTGCGTGTCGCCCACATTCAGATGTTGGAAATGCGGAGCCCGGGACCATCGCAGTGCTGTGCGAAGCCTAGGGATGAATTCGTACCACGAGGATCAACTTGCTCGGAACGGTGCCAACCACTAGCTTACACTCGTATGATGATCCAATGCAAGACTTGCATGAACATGCGAAACAACTAACAGACGCCTGAATGCACAGTCTATCACAGTCTTGACGCCTTCATCACCGTCGGGGGATGCAGCTTGTATGAGCTTTATATACCTTGTTGAAACATAAAGTACACATAATGCAATGTAACCTACTGTATTGCAACAACTCATGAAGTGACTTAATGTTGCAGCATCGTATTGCTTGTCTGACAAGAAAGAACATAACAGCAAGATAAGACTAAACCGTATGAGGTTCTGCGGTACCTTTGTATATTATCCTGCGGTCTTGCGATACAATACAGCTTACTCCTCTGTCTTTACCATAAACGTAACAATATATGAAAAGGTTCTTTCTGATTTGTATTTACAGCCTTCCTGCGCTAATTATCGTTCTTGAGTTCTTGATGGAATTAGGAGGGGTCTCTTGGCATGTCGTCTGTGGAGGAGCTACAGTACCGATCGTAAGCGGAGGCGTCTTGGTTTGGGTTGGATGGCGTGGATTCAGCGGAGGCGAGGGGTCGCAGGGGCCCCGACCCCCGAAGCACACCTGGCAATGCCGGACTTGCATAAATTGCGAAACAACTAACAAACGCCTTGAATGCTCAGCCTTCCTGAGTTGGGGGCTGCAGCCTGTATGAGTTTGATATACCATGTTACCGCAAAGAAAATTTAATTACAGCGTAATCTAATGTAGCAATGAGTAATCCGACTTCTAATTTCCTTATGTTGCACTTTGTAACCTTTGCAGTTTAACATGTCGTGTCATACTCTAGTACGAGACAATATAATCCAATGCAGCAAGACTACTATGCGACACCATACTTTGCTACATCTGTATCCTGTGTCTACTATGTTACAAGGTGATACAGGGTTGATTCATAAACAAAACAGGACATGTGAGAGTTTCTTTCGAGTAATTAGTACGCATGTACGTACAGCTTTCCTGCTGTCATCGTCGTTCCTAATGGACCAAGGAGTAATCTTACCACGCCTTGCAGTACTAGCCTGCCTGTCTAGTTCGGATAGCAAAGCAAAGCGCACCCTCTTGGCATGTAGTCTGTGGAGCAGCGACAGTACCGATCGTAAGAGGGGGTTGGCGGACTCCTGTCTTGACCATCGTTGGGTCTATGCAGCCTGTATGAGTTCAAAAGCCATCGCTACAAGATAATGTATACATAATACAACGTAAACTAATGCACCAATGCAAAATGTGATTTAACATTTTCGTATGCTGTACTTTGTGTCATAACTCAGTTTACAATGAGGTAACATAATTCAGGTTGTATTTTGGTTAGTATGTACAGCCTTCCTGCTCTCATTATCGTTCCTGATGTTTAATTACTAGGAATTGCTTATCACGCATTGCAGTACTGGCCTTACAGTCTGATCCGGAAAAGCAAAACAAAGCACACCCCGTCGGTAAATAGTCTGCGGAGCTAGTTGGGGGTGCGCAGCCTGTATGAGCTGGTATACCATGCTGCAAGACGAAAGCTTACATGACGTAACGTAACCCCATTTTATAATGTAATCTTACCTTTTGTTGTATGTTGTAGCATGATACAGCTTCACAGAAGTGAACATAATCAAATATGAGATATTCCAAACCAGTGCAACCAGGCCATGCTACTGAAACGTGTTGAATTATCGTATAGTTAAGTTGGTCACTGAGGTAGTCATATCATCAGCTGGACCTCCGTTGTAGAAGACATACTCGTACTTGTACTAACTAACAAAACTAATAGTGATAGTCATAACAGCAATAACGGTATCACCAACAAATATTTTAACGGGAAGAAGAATAACGACCACAATAATAAGACTAGTCATGAATGAGCGATAGATGCTCTTTATTTGTGGATTTTCTTGCTTGCTTCTTCATGCTTTTGTTATTTCTGTCGCTCTGTCTTTCTTTGTTGTCGTTATCTCGCTTGTTCGCTCTTGCTTTGTCTTTCTGTCTCGCCTCCTTTCTGTTGTTATTTCTGGTTTCTCTCTGTCTCGATTGATTTCTGTCGATCTATCCTTCGTTCTTTACTTTTGTCGTTCTGTCCCTTATTCTTTCTGTTGTTCTATCCGTCGCTCTGTCGTTCTGTCTTTAGTTCTTTCCGTTTATATCTCTGTGTTGCTTGCTTTGTCTCTGTCGTTCTGTCGTTCTTCACTTAGTTCTTTCGTTCTTTCGTTATGTGTTCAGTTCTGTCGTTCTTTGTTGCTTTCATTATTGTTGGTTTGTCCCGCCGCCCCCCCCCCCCCCCACCCCCCCCACTAAAAGACCAAAACAACTAACAAGGTGCAACAAGAAAAGATGAACCGTCTGAAACTGCAAACCGAACCGCACTGCCCGTTGCACGGAACCGCCCACCGCCACCGCCACATCCATGGACAAAGCGAACAAGCAAGCAAACACCACTCAGAGAGATGCTTGAAAACACAGTGAAGGGACTATCATGACGAAGGGCATGTAAACTCGCAGCAGGACAGGGTTCAGAGTTCAGTTCATGGGTTGAAGATGTTAATGACCACAAATAGTTGAGCAAGTCTACAAGGCTTCAATGCTGTGCCGTTTGGACCGGATGCGGGCTTTGACGAAGGCTTGATTCCCGAAACTACGCATGAAAACTAAGCTTACAGACTTCGAGAACAAGATGAGCAATCAACTGATCCACACTGGAGGCTTAGTGTTTCGAAGGCAACTATACGCAGCTCCCGTCCCAGTCTTGAGAGATGGATGTGATGTGGATGGATTTTGCTCCTTGCCGCACGGAGTGGCATTATCGCGCTGTTGGCTCTGGCCCATGCAATGCCCAAGTCCAACAACAAGATTTAATGACCTCTTTCCGAGCCTCGCAAGTGCACTTGACATCCCGACGTCAAAACAAAGACAACCTTGCCTACATGGACTTCATGCTGTCTTTGTCGGATCTATTGATGTTCGCGCCATGTATGAAATCCAAGTCGCAAACACTGCCCCGCTTGTCGAACGCGAGATCTCAAGCATTGTCCCCAAGGATTTTGGATGGATCTCGATGGGTTTTTGGAACCAACAAGCATTGTCCCCACTCGTTGACCACGAAATCAAAATCTTCCGCTTGACAGTTTTCGGCTCTATTGAGCTAGCACCTGCTCATGACTGGACCCGGTGTTCTGAAGGAGACACTAGGTTGTCCATTCCATGATGATGAAGTTGCACCTAAAGCACCGATGCATTTTTCAGAAATGGCATCAACATTTTATCAGGGCAAATTCTTATACCCAAGGGTGAGTGCGAATATTACCTGCACACTGGCACTTCCGGTCCAACAGACCCAACAGAGGTGCAGCATTGCAGGTTTGGACTTCAACTACTACAACCCGCTGTGAAGTCATGAGCCGACACAGATCGGTCAGGTAAGGAAAGGCAGTAAGGCCAATATATGTGGTAGACGCCGAATCCCAACGCCTGTCGACATTGAAACAGCAATGCATGTCAGTCGTTTTATGTTGCTGCTCCAGATTTCCGCATTGGATTTGTAGACGGAAGACCGATGCAAATAATCACTCTGAAATCGGAGACATGTCTCTGAAAATGCAGCCAACATGCAAACGTAGGGATCCTTCAAGATCCTCCAGCTGGCACACGCGAACTAGCCGACTAGCCGTCTATCCAACCATGCAGCCTCTGGCGCAATGCTTCCTCCAAGAGACCAACGAAAGTGAGCTTGTGATAGTTCTGCACCGCCTTCTGCAGAGCCAGCAATTGCGATAGCCCATCTTCAAAGGCAAACAGCTAGCAAAGTGGGATCCCCACCTGCACAAGAGTTGCAGTGCGATTCCTGCAGTGCCATTCACAGCGAAGTCCATGAGTGGTTCAGACGCAAAGATTCGGCTCGTCCTGAACATGGCCCGCATCCTTGCGTTGTCGGACTCTTGCCTGTTCATCAACCGAAGCGGTGAAGGCCCAGACACAGCACGTCTCCGCCTCGTGGAGCCGGCACCCACGTGCACCGAAAGACCGCTCAGCCAGGCAGTGCCAGCCATGCCATCCTGAAAAATCTACCAGTGCTGTTCAACATGCGATAAAGAGGGTCAACATGGCACGAGCCTGCCACACCATCAATGTGTCCAGCAGCGCAGCCGGATCATAGAGGTACCTCCCACGACGTGAAGAAACGCTGTGCCGCGTTTCGGATCAAAGAGCACTGGACCGGATTCAGCCGGCGAATTCTCAACCGAGCTGTCCAGTCTAATCGTCTGGCCTGGGGGAAAGCGACGTCCAGGTTGCAGAAACAACGTGGTTGCAGACGACATCGAGCTGGACGCTGTCATAGGGTATGTGCATCGGTGCCACTGAATCTGTTGGCTGTACCGTCTTCTCGATATTGCAGCCAGGCGGCAAAGTGAAAGTGTGACCTTTGTACGCCGTCACTCATCATCAAAAAAAGGTTGTTGTTCATCCTGCCTGTGGTGGGCTTAAGTTTGCACGTGCACACCCAACAAGAATGCCTTGCACCTGCATGCCTGCAGAAACCTTTCCCCATGTTCTTGGATGTAATTCGCTAAGCCCCGATCGGATAGCAAGCTAAGCTGCGAACAAATAGCGTTGGAGCGGATTTCGGAAAATCGCGAAACCTCCCAGCAGGCGAGTAAAGCAGGTCTTCAGTGGTACTGCTGCTGCTGCCGCCGCCGCTGCTGCTGCTGCTGCTACTCCTACTCCTACTCGGACTAAGTCCAACTCCAACTCCAACTCCAACTCCTACTCCTACTCCTACTGCTACTGCTACTGCTAGTGCTAATCTGCTAATCCAGACCACAGCTTCAGAACGGATTGTTTTCTTTTTTCACTTGGCAGAAGGAAGTACTGAAAGTATGTTGAAAAGCTGCGCCCTTCTATGCCTATGAAGATTGTTCGGCCGTTGGCCAAGTGCACGTCTTCTAGCATAGGGGCCAAGGCTACGACAACTCACGTCAAACGACTGAAAGTACTCGGGAGGCGAGGGCAGACTCATGCTTCAACACCCTTCCTTAGCATTGTCTCCAGACAAATGCCATCTTTATGAAAAATTTAGACTGAGTCATCCAGTCCCGAACCTCCTATTGAAGCAAGAAGCACAGAACCTTTTCGAATCAACGTTGGAGTTGGGATAGCTGCACAGTCTCTGAAGGATATTGTTCCGTCAGACAAAACACTTGCTTCCATAGGGCTTGCGTGGAGTCTTGCCCGTTGAGCAAGCCAACAGGAGCTTTCCAACATGCCGCTGTGCGGCTATAGCAGTTGCAACATCGGGGGAATCAGCTGTTTCACCTTCCTCATGCCACTCTTTAGGTGCTGGAACCCTTGACCATTTGTTAGGATTGATCTCGTGCGCCCGGAGCAGCTCAGAGACATATGCCTCTTGCGAAAGCAAGAAGCCCCCTTCACATGCTTTTATCTCCTAGACGTCTGAAAGGCTCTTCGTCTACACGAGTGTGAGCGAACTTGAGTTTTGAGCATTCTCAGAGGGAAAATATGTTTTGCTGTAGGACCTCAAGCACCCCAGTTGGTCTAAGGAACAGCACATCGTCTACTTAAACTAGAAGGTAACCTTGGAATTCAGGGTCGACGTTTTCTGGGGAGGAGGACTCAGGCTCTCGCACCTGATGGATAGTCCACAAGTTGCTCTCCAAAGAGCCTTGTCATCCTGAAATGCGATGTTCACTCCAGCGCCTTGGAGCGAGCCTCTCTGTAGCCATAGACGGCCCTCTGCACCTCCCAGATCTCAACGAGTTCCAAGCGTGACCAATATGCTCGGTGGCCTTTGAGGCATGGAAATGCCCTGAAAGGAATCGACAATCTCAATCAGGCCGTAGAGATATCTGACCCTGCAGCGGGCCATCCTTTGCTTGCGGCTTCTGCCAAAACCGCTCTGAGCATTTCTGCGGAAGATCCTGCTGCAAAGAATTCTGCACCCGATTCCGGTTCGAGGTTACTACATGCCATCATTCTCGCGTTCCACTTAAAGAGCATGGCTGATCCTGGACCTGGCGTCCATACGGCTTTAGCTGGGATGGGAATCATGCGGGTGTCTGCAAGGTACCTCTGAGCAGCCTGTCCAGTATGCCGAATGATAGCCTTTAGGGATTGCAGACTGTTCAGCTCTTTCTGTGCGCCGCTTTCCAAAGGGACAACCTTTCTCTAACTTCTCTGGGATCTACGGTGGGTAACCAGGTCTGCCAACTCCAAAAACTGGTCTCGTCGGGGTCTTCTTGGGCGCTGCGAGCCTATCGCACTTGCCCACGGCTGTTGAACACCTATGTCCCCCGCGCGCTGCTGAGACGATGCAGAAGCTTCACTCCTAGGATCAGGAGAGTCCTGCGCCTGCGCGCTACCGAACCTGATTCTCAGAGCTTTGATGCACGGAACGTTTTCTGCCTGAACAAAGCTCACACCTTCAGACTGCTTTGATGGCCTTGCTTCGTCCTTGCCGCTCCGTACTAGGAAGGAAGTCGGATCCCTGCCAAACGATACGTGACTCGACTCTACGCTTGATGATCTCTGCGGCACTGGATTTTCGGACATCACGCTCCTGCACCTTTCAGGCCTCAAGGAAGCGGCAATGGGTCTTTCGTTTCCATTTAAGAGGTCAAAACCATTGCTTGCGGGATCTCGCGTCGGGGAGGCGGAGGTGTTGTTGCAAGATGGAGCGTAATGTGCCTTTGCACGGATGGCATATTTTCGTGCATATTTCGTCCCCTTTCGGTGGATCTAAACCACTACGTCACTACTTGCTAAATCTACTGTTGGCACAACTCCGGCATGCTCAGAATCCTGAAGGGTTTGTTTGTCGCACTACGGAGCATAGGGTCATCTCAGACGAAAGGCATGCTTTCGTGGATATTTTGTCCGCTTTCTGTGGATCCAAACCACTACTCACCCTCCTACTTCAGTCAACAGCCCAACACCCACAATATGTTGCCTGGCCCAGAGCCCCTTCGTCACGCATGTTCGAGTGTCGACCGGGCGATTTCCCCTCTTCGGACCCGTAACCACCTGTTGTGACGCCCAAACCGTTGCCTCAAGTTTCTCAGCTGCGCTCTCACCCCTCCTCGCCATGCACACCCGCTCCAAGCGGTCGGCTAAGAGGATGAGCTCTTCTGCGACGGGTCTCGGATCAAGATTTCCACCACCTGGACTTAACGCTGCTAGTTGAGGCGAAGTCGCCTTGGTAAGTGGACGGACACGACGACTGATGGCAAAAGGAATGATGCCTCCTTGGGGCGTCATCTGCTTACAAGGTGGCTGCTGACAAAGAGGATGATGCTGCCCTGGAGGTTGTCTGCTTCACAGTGATCCTGCACAATCGCTATGGCATTGCTCGTCGGATCGTCAGTCAAACAATCTTTAGGTGCAGCGACAAGCTTTAAGGCATTGCGATTAGGGAACTTAAACCCAAGCCCCTTAAGATCTTCTAGGGTTTGTGCTAGAATTTCTAGCACACCTCTTGGAGTGTGCCCTGCAATAGCCCACACATGCTGAACCCATGGCACCAAGCAACGCCTCTTTCTGGGATCAAAGCCAACGACATGCCCATCAACGCAAACCTGTGAACCTCCTTGCTCATGCCCTGTAGGCAACAGCATGTCCAAATAGGTGCTGTCCGACAGCCGACAGCCATAGCCCTCCCTCTAGTTTGTCTGTGAGCTGCGTGACCAAGTTTTGTGACTGAAGCTCATTGCGCATATCCATGCGCAACCCTACCGAAGGATTACGGTAAACAGCAACGGACGCCCACAAAGCTTCTTCGACTCCTTGCTACTCAAGATGAACTGTCAGGACATCATTCAAAAGCTCTGTCAGACATGGCCTTCTTAACGTCTCATTGTCTCATTGGTAGCACCTTTGCGCCCACTTTGCGCATAGCTTCCTGGGAGGCTGCACATTCCAAACCCAACCGATTTTGTAGTCATGAAAATGCCAGCTGCCATTGAGAGCCAGTGGCATAGCCGAAAATAGCAAAGCAGGCGTGAGAGGAGCACCCCAAAATGCGTCTCTCGCGCACTAGGGCCACTCCACTCGAAGGGACCAAGCCCCTGGCCCTTCAGTCCATGCACAGCTGGACCCACGGAAGAAGCCGCTGCTCCTACAAAGTCTGCGGGAGGTGCCGCAGCTGGTGCCACCGAGGCCAGCGCTCCAGGTGACACCTTGCCCTCCAGCATGGAAGGCTTGGCCTGTCGAAGCCACCGAAGCTCCTGTAGACCCATAATTCATCACCTGACCAGATAGATGGAGAAGTGGCGGCGTTGGAGCCTTCAATCCTCCCGCGCAGACAGTTGCGGTTGCCTGACCTTTCCATCTAGATCCAGCCCAGCTGAAGAGGCGTTGTCCCGTCAACCAGCGTCTCGTATCCTTGGGCGATCATAACCTGTTGATCTGGAAGATCATGCATGCTGGGATTCACACCGTCCATCTCAGCTCGCGGTTCGTTCCAAGCTCTTCGGATGCTCCCCGAAGCGTTATCAAGACCACTGAAATTGACCACAGCTTCAAAACGGATTGTTTTCTCTCTTCACTCGGCAAAATATGTTGCGAAACTGCGCCCGTCTATGCCTGTGATGATTGTTCGGCCTTTGGCCAAGTGCACGACTGCGAACGAAGTCTTCTAGCATAAGGGTCTTGCACTCTTTCACTTGAAGAACCACAAAACCTACGACAACTCATTTCAAATGACTGAAACTACTCGGGAGGTGAGGGCAGCCATACTA